CACCCCCAGCCCTCCTCCCGCCCGGCTCCCGCTCCTCCCGCTCCTCCCCGGACTGGGGCGGTGCGCACCGAGCGCGCTCCAGCGGCTCCTGGTTCTGCTATGCCTGCGACGTGCACAAGTCCCGCGATACTTGCCAGGCACGGCCCCCAAGGGCGACTGTGGGGTGGGCTCTTCTCAGGGCAGCCTGACTCACGACCCCTGGCCACCGTAGGGCCCCAGGGTGCAAAAGCCAGCTTAAGCGCACTGTGTGCGTCCACTGCAGCGCCAGTCTCTTAGGATAGCTGGGGTCGGGGGTCTGCCCTCGGGGAAAGTTCCAGCAACCCCACCCTGCCGTCGGCTCTACCGTGGAGAGATGCTTCGAGAAACTTGAGGGTTTGAGGTTTCAGCCCTTTCATGTGGAAGAGACAGACTTTAGACGATATGGTTCACGCATCCCGACAGGATCCTAGTGTTCTGGTTGGCGGCGGCGGCTGCCACCACCAAGGAATGCGCTCTTATAGGAACTGGGCACATAGAGCGCTTCATTGCAGTCTTCAATTTTTTAGCCAGAGGTAAACGGAAAAAGTGGGACTTTGAATTTATTTCTCAGGCTGACGTATATGGTAGTTGACACATGCACGGCATGCATATCAGAGTACCTGAAAGCTCTGCTAAAGTGAAATGTGGCAGAAAACCCGAGATACTAAATAGTATTTAAATAAATGTAAGGATTTTATAATACCCAACTGGTGGCACAGCATTTGCAAGATCTCAGACCTGTCCCCGACTGCCATGAGGGAGAAATTCTAAGAAATTGGGACTGCGGTGTTCAAGTCCCCGTTTGATCATGTATAATTCACTGTGGGCTCTTGGTTAGTTCATTTTGGCCCTTGACTTTTTTCAGTCTGTTTTCTTATTTTTGATAAGCGGTTGTCAGAGACCCTTTCTTCTCACCGTCTCTTCATGTATCTTATGGTTCATCTGGCAGAGTTGGGGGAGGATGTGACAGCTACATCAAAAATATTAAAAAGCTATTTTGTACATTCATCATAGTCTTAACTTATATCAGCGATGCTCTTGATTATACTCAGAAAGGGCAATTTCTAGAGTCATTTATTCCTTTCTATAAATCAGCTATCAGTTTAAATAATAACTACATTTTCCATCCTACCACTCCCACACCACAATTATGGATCAGCAAGGTGCAGTGTCACATGCCTGTAGTTAACCTCATGGGAGGCTAAGGCAAGAAGTTAGCTTGAGCCCCAGACTTCAAGACCTGCATGGGCAATATAGCAGAACTCCCATCTCAAAATGTAACAATAATACTAGTAAGTCTGAAATTTCTATTACTCTCACTTGTAAGTTCCAGTTCTGCAATCAGGTCACTGACCACTATATGTTATTATGTTAAGCAAAGCTGTGTACCTGCAGATAAAGGACCGTAATTCTAGTACTAACCCAGCCACTTGCTAGTCATATGTCCTTGAAAGATATATGCTCCCATCCTTACCTTCTTCACGTCTATGAAAAGGAGCAGTCTTTCTAATAATATTTAACATAGGCAGAAATCATACATCTAGTTGGCAGTTGGGATAATCTATGTCTTGAAAGGAGAGATTGCAAAATCATATTTCATGCTGTAATGGGAAGCACTTGAGGCCATTTTTATATTCTACCATAGATTCTTAACCACAACAGAAAAACATTACTTGTGATGGATAAGTCTAGTAGACATCACCTTACCTAAGGGACCAAGTTTAAATTCACCAATAATGGGACCAAGTGACACTCACAGCCTTGTGATGCAATGCACTGAGAAGTACAAGTAGGGTTTACTTAATGTTCCAGACAAATATGTGTAACTGAGGGCCCGGGATGTAGATTATATCAGTGGTGCACTGCAGCCTGCCTGGCAAGGGCAAAATCTTGAGTATGATCCCTGGTACCAAAAAAAGTAAAAGAGTGGTCCAGGGATTTAGCTCAGTGGTTCCAGCGCCTGCCTCACAAGCAAAAGGACCTGAGTTCATTTGATCAC